ATTATTGGAAACATTCCTTCTCTGTCATAGGCATGCAGTCCCCTCCCAGTGGCCTTCCCCTTAATTCTCTACAATGTCTGGGCCCCGCTGCTTCTAGAAGTCATTACAAAGCTGTTTCCATACTGGCCACGGGGGCCTTGCTGTTTGGGTGCTGCATCAGTCTCATTCCCACCATTTCTTTTCCAGGTAGCAGCAAGTTGATCTTATGTCAGTTCATCATCATAATCAACATATTTATGGATAGGCATGCGAATGGCACTAGGGGGACTTTACATAAATATAGAAGAGTGTGGTTCATGCCTTTGAGGACATTAAAACAAAATTAAATCAGAGGCAGTCACCATATGCAATGCCTAATCATGTAATACGGTGACCATTTGGTGATGTTACTATACCATATTTCCACAGCATTAGTGTTTTCAAATGACTCAATCAACTCCTGCCAAGATATGCAAAAACAACTAAATGAGGAGCCTTTTCCAAAAATGTTTTCCTGTTTCCGTTACCCAATTCATCTAATAGAATCACTCTCTGAGTAAGTGCCACTTGCCTACTGTGGAAAACACTTTATTTGGTAGCAATTTTGAAACTTCCAATATGAATTATAGATACTTACTGCAGTAGAATCAAGGGATCCTATTTCCCCCTTCAAAATCAATAGAAAAATTGCTACATACACTAGGTATTCTTTCTTTGTAAAGACAGATTTATCATTGCATTCTGTTTCAGAGCAGTTCAGGTTATTTCCAGCTAGCAAAGTGGCTTAATCCTCCACTTTACCTGCTCAGGTAAAAGAGCCGTTTTGCATTTTGAAGGCTAGAGGCAATATTTTGCACAAATAACACACTAACTCCATTGTTAATATTGTTTTCAACTGGCCTTAGGGAGGAGAGATAGAGAGCACTGCATCACCGACAGGAAAAATTAATGTTTCTTTACCAAAATCTTTACTTAAAATCATGTACTCACAGTTGAAGTGCTAGATGTTTTAAACTTGTAGGTTCTACAGAGAGAATATCTTCCATTCATGATGTTATCCCTAATTGATTTTTAAAACAGATTCCAACAGGGTCAGACTTTCCTCCTTGGAATTCTAAATGTTCCTATTGTTTCCACATCTTGAATCAGTAATTTTAAAAGCTTCATAATTGAAAAATTTTCTGTTGAGTATTTATTCTATCACAATGAATTTTTACCCTGTGTAGATGTTGTCCTGATTCTTTATTGGCCTTCTTAAGTATATATTAAATATATGATATTATATATATATATATATATATATATATTTAACTTAGTAAAAGCATATTTGTATATGTTTGTGTATGTGAAAAGGTGAGGTAAGCAATGGAGGCCCACTGAAGCATTCACCTTCAAATGCAGTTAAAGTAGGGGAACATGAATGACTACATGAACACACATGACAAGTTGATACCAAAATCTCTCAGAGATTCACTGAAACTCAACTAAGGAATCAACATCTAATAGCTTACTTTTTTTTCCCTAGATTTTTGAATCTTAAGAAAATATCTAAGAAGTGGGAAGAACACAGACTTAATATTTTACCCATGACTTCCAGAGAGGCAAAAACAGGGCTTATGAAGAAATCAAGTGTTCTGACAGTCTTTAAGCAATAGCTGATGTTACATGGGTAAATATATTATTAATATTTGTGTTATTGCTTATTATTGACTGGATTGCTTCATTATGCTCCTGAGAATCATGTATTTAAAAAATACTAGAAGTGCTAGCAACGGCATGTGATTAACAACGGGCAGATCAATCCTGGAACACAAAACTTTAAACATGTATGAGGCAGAAAATGACTTTGCGCTACCAGTATTCTAATAAATTTTGCACAGCTAAAAGGAGTGGGAGAAATGCACACATTTTAAAAATTTTGGAAAATTGAGGTTAGCTGTTATCAAGGGGTATTTGGAGGCTATTGTAATTTGTTTTTTTATGCATTTGCTTAATTGTCTTGTACAAAGAAAAAGTACATCAAGCATGTAGTTAAGAGTAGTGGGCATTCAGACAATTTGTGTATTCTTACAAATGTGTTTAATTACAACTGCTTCAAAGGTATCCCAGATTTTCAAAAGTTTTATTTTAAGTTTGAAGACTAGACAAGGTCATACTAATTTTACAACATCCTACACGATTTAAGTCTATATATAAAGAAAAAAACCAACATTGGAATATTACACAGCTTGAAAGTTTGCAAAGGTTATTTGTGTCTTAGTAACTTCTGTACTTACTGACACATCAGACGCCAGCAGTATTGTTTCATAATTTGTTGACTAGCAAAGATACAATCATTAGTACCCTAAGTCTTCAAAGTTCACACCAATCCTTCGAAGCCATTCAGAAAGAGAAAGTCAACCCTGAAATTAGAATTAGTTACTATGATAAGTGCTTTCAACAGGACATAGATAAAATGGAGATGTTTAGAATGTTATTTCATAGATTATAAAACTAGCATATTATAGCTACTCCATATAGCGAAGACTTAGGTGATTTTTCTGTGTGTTCTGCTTCTAAGATTTCATTTGTTTTAGGGTGAATTTAAATAGAATAAATTTGTTTCCCTTCGGTGTCATTGATGCAAATGACACAAAAGCTACATACTACTTCACAGGAATTGTTAACATCACCACATGTGGGAATCCCTTTGTCTTCACGAATTTGAGGCATCGTGGGACAAATAGATACCCCGCTGGTCATGCCACATTGGTGAAGAGCGCAGAGAGCAGAGAGAAAATGCACAGGCAAGAGAGAGCCACTCCACTGTATTTCTAAAAGGTAAGAAGTGTAAGTTTAACAAACTCCCTTTTAAAATATTTGTTTTGTAAGTTTAACAAACTCCCTTTTAAAATATTTGTTTAAAAAACTATCAATAAAATAAAATTCAAAACATCACAAGAAGCCAGGAATAGTTTTGAGAAAGTAAATCATTACAAAGCATTACTCATAATTTCTAAAACCTACTCTGTTTGGAATGAAGAATCGTGCATAGTCTGCAAAGGAAAACGGCTAGAAATTTGGTGGGGCAGTAGATGTTTACAGAAATAAAAGGCATTGGCTAGACAGTAAGTGTGTGTGTCTTTTTGGACCTAAGTAATTATTTGTCATACAACTTTGATATTTAGGAAATTAAAAAGATTTAATTCTTAATTTTAAAGTTGTCTGAAAAAGGCAATATTGGGACCTAACAATTTTGTTTGTGAAAGATGCTGAAAAATGATTACCGTTTCAGATGCTTCCAATCAACAATTTCATAAGAACCTGAAGTAGAAAGCCCATGGGCATCGGAAAAATGTGTGGCCAGCCAGTCCTAATTTTACTCTTATTAAAAACACCATTATGATTGACTTTCCCTTTAAATTCTTCACTATGATTGAAGACCACTCCATATATACATCATTAAGAAATGCTGTTAACACATGGACAGACAAGACAGTAACAGTCTAGTGGCTTTTGTTATGCAGCACAAATAATAGAGGGGAAAAAAAACAAAACAAAACCAACTTCTCAGTTTTGCACAGGACCTTAACATTTCATACACATACTATACTTTCTTTTCCAGGACCCTTAATTTAAAACTCCAATAATTCTGTGTCTAAGCCTTATAAAATAAATGCTTGTAAAGCTTATAAATTAGATGTTGAGGACTATTATGGAGGCAGTGTGAACTTTAATTTGAGAAACATGTCAATGAAACCTCCATTATCAATAACAAATTGTTATGATAATTGCTTATTTTTTCAGGACCTCTGAAGCAAAATAAATAGAAATCAATTTTCATCTTAAAATGATCTATTACATTGTCATTAGTAAATACTTTTCACAAATAACTACACAGTGTGCTTTCCTGGGAAACTGCCACCAGTTTCATTCAAGTCTCAGTAAAGTTTTAGTTTCACAGGAAATGCAGAGATGAACAAAGAAATGATGAGTATGCTTGGCCAGGCTCTGCAGCACTGTGTTAATATTTGTTTGCCAAAAAAATTTTAAATGGACAAAGAATTCATTATTGTATTATTTTAAAGATAAGGCTATGTAAATACTGTCAAAACAAAGTTTTAACTTCTGGTTTAAAGGGACATAATACTATTTTGTTGTTGTTTATATCTTGCAAAATGGTTGTAATGGGTTTTTTATAAAGGAAGTATTTGGAAATTATATAGTTATAGCTTCCTTCAAAAATAGAATTGCAGATTCAATCTACTGATATTAAATATGATCAATCTACTGATATGCAATCATGTTCCATATATATGTATGCATATATATATGCATACATATACACACACACAAACATGAAACTTTTTGGCAAATAATAGGAAAAAACTCAATTAGAAAAATATAGGACTTAGTCAATATACAATATAAAGAATATAGAATAGAATGAAAAGGAAAAGGATCACATGATATATTTGATTAGAAATAATGAAAGTAAAATGAGAATTATAATATCAATTAGTACTGCATGTAACTGATTCTTCAAAATTCGGTTATAAACACTGACAGTGTTCGGTAGGCACAGGGAAAACAATTATGATCATGTGGAGTCATTACAGAAGAAAAAAAACTTATTGCTAACATTGCAGTGTTCCTTTTATAAGAATTAGCTGAGTATTGATTATAAATGCTCTATCAACTCTTGCTTTTATTTGATAATTATGAGATTTTTTTTTTACCCTTGCTATCAAAAGAGTGCTACTTTCTTTCCTTAATATATTTCAACCATTGAGAATAATTCAGAAAACAATGACAAAAGTAATGCACAAGGTAATGTGATGTTGCTTAAGAAATTTAAAACAATAGAAATTAAAATTAAACCATTGAAAAGGCAGGCTTAGACCTCCTGAAAAAGACAGTGGACATAATTTGAGCATTTTTTATGAAAAATCCCATTCAGTTTCCTACAGAGTTTGTACAGTTCTTCCCACGGAAATAGTTTTAGGGGGACAGAGAAGAGGGTTGTGGGGTGTGGAGGCTCCTTACTCTTCCTCTGTACAACCCAGCAGCTCCGAGCGCAGCGTGATCCTCCCATACCAGGACCAGGGGAGGATTCTGATGTGCCGTGCATAGATGGGAGGGTCGATGACGTTTTTCCTGTGGGTATCATTGTCAAAATTGCCCTGGAAAACCTAGGAGAAAAGAGCGAAGAATATCAATCATACCGCCTTCTTTTGCCTGGGAATTATTTTTATCACTTTCTTGTTTGGAATCTTTTTTCCCAAACATGGGATTTTGATAGCTAATCATGTTTTTCAAAACAAATTATTGCAGCTACTTTTTCATGGACATTTTAAAATTAAGTTGTCGGAGCGCCTGGGTGGTTCAGTTGGTTAAGCATCTGCCTTTGGCTCAGCTAAGGATCTCAGGGTCCCGGGATTAAGCCCTGCTTTGAGCTCCCTCCTCAGCGGGGAGCCTGCTTCTCCCTCTGCCCCAACCTCCCGGCTTGTGCTCTCTCTCTCTCTCTCAAATAAATAAATAAAATCTTAAAAAAAATTGTCAAGTAATGTTTAAAGAGTTAAATAAGATGAAACTGGGCATCTAAGGCAGGAATACATAGATTTATCATCTTCATCTGCCTATCAGGTTTCTTTTTAACGCAATAGATATTTATTTCTTGCTTCTGTCACAGGCTGGTGTTGGTCAGGCAGCTTGCTGAAGGTGCTCTCTTTTAAGGAGTTGACTCAGAGATCCAGGCTGCTTGCAAATTGTAGCCGTCATCTGAAACAGGTGGCCTCCACATTGACAAAGGGCAAGGTGAGAGTTGCTAGACTGGGTGGGATGTTTTAAAGAACATAGTATAGCAGCAGCTTACATCATTTCGAGATACATATCATTGACCTTAACTAATTATATGACCCCAGCCCAGCTGCTTGAAATGGAGAGGAGCACATGGGTATTTGGCGAGGACAACACTCTCTATCACAGTGTCTTTTGCTCACTTCTCACACAGACAACAAAATTAACCCATCCCCAAGAGAGAGAACGCAATCAGTGCTATTTTGAACTATTTTTTTTTTTTTTTGGTTTCTATGTCTATTCATTCCTGGATCCCTGCAATACTGTTTGTGATCATTGTGACTTATAACATCCTGACATGTTGGCACTGGATTCTTCTCCACCATTCTTTTGTTTCAAAGCTTTTTTTTTTTTTTTTAGAGCATTTATGTCCATTTTTTTTCTCCAAAGAGACCTTGATAATAACTTTGCAAAGTGCTTGCTTCAGAAAAAACAAAACCAGAATGCTGGGATCCTGATAGGAATGACATCAAATTACACATTACTTTGGGAGAAATTCATGCATTCATAATATTTAGTCTTACTTGAAGATTTCATCGTTTTTCATCTACGGAGCCTGCACACTTATTATTGAAGTAGTTTCTAACTATCTTATACTCATATTTTCGTTTTAGCTCAAATAGGATAATGAAAAATCTCTTCAGACTTTCCCCTTTTAACTTTATGAGGCATCTTATAATTGGAAGATAATTTCTTTCTTGCTTGAGATCAAAACTTGACTATATCGCTAAAGGGAGACCTGAAACAAAAATTCCCCAAAGGGGGTAAAAAAAAAACTCCATCACCACATGACAGAATATTTAACCCATATCTTTGAACATTCTAAAATTAAAGGGAATGTTTTAAAAATGGCCTTCTAGAATAAGTTGGTTCAGTCTCAAATGATCACAAAAGGTCTCCTGGATAGGGAAAAATAAAGATAGCCTCTCAAAGGCATTAGACAGCATGGCACTGATTAATGGAAGCAACAGACAAGATGGGGTAATCTTCCTGCTGGTTCCATGGAAAGATTATGTGTCATTGAGGGCAAATGCGAAGTGCCATCCCCATCCGGTGGAGAACAATTTTTCAACCTGACACAAAATATATCCCCAAGGTGATTTTTGAATAAATATTTGCTGAAGAAGAGAATACCGAACTGTGCCACATCTAGAATTCATCATCCTGGCATATCTGAATCCATTTTCATTTACTAGGAATTTTATCCTCAGCAATGCTCTGGCTTTGCATTGACCAAGCAAGAACTAATTCTGGACTTAAATGTGTTACTAAATAACAGTGTCTCAGTTAGCAGAAGCTCACATGGATAGGACATACCACACAGACACTCACCAAAAATCCTTAAGAGAGGTTGTCATTGCAAAAGCAGAAAATAAGAGAGTACCTTCTATGGTTTCCTGACCTTCTCTCTGACATATGATGTTGGATTCAAATGCTTCACTGAGACTGTGGTGTTACAATTTAATACAGAATCTTAAATCCAATTTCATAGCCTTGCTAGAGAACTTAAGGTGTTTCTTTGGAATAATAGAACTTAAATTCATTAACTTTCATCACAAGATCTATAACAGTACAAAATATAGTGTCATACCACTTCTTGGGAAGGATACTCAGTAAGAAATAATTTTCTTTTAAGTCACTGGTCTTTAGCACAAGTTTCAATAAGAAACTATCAACCCAGAAATAAATAGTTGAACTATTATACTTATCCTTTATAATGGAGAATACATTTAGAGAAACTACATCAGCTCTGAAACTGCATTCAACTCTGACACTTCGGATTCAATTCAATCTGTGAAACTCACAGATATTTGAATCTCATTAAAAAGATTAAATGAAGTTTCATAAAACAGTATAATTTAGAAAACAAAAATTTTCACAGAAAAAACAGCCACAAGCTACCTTGGAATCAACCAAACCATGGCCTAAAGGTAGTGAAGAGCCACTTTTATTTTTGGAAGTCTTTCAGTAATGACACAGCAGAGAACACAAAGCACATACTTGCAAATTCAAGCATGACATCTTGTACTTGCTGTGCAAACATGTGGCCCAAGTACTGTTTTCTTGTCTCCAGCACTAGGAAGATCTTGCTTAAGAATGCTAGTTCAATGTTTTATCCAACAAAGGAATGCAAACTCAGTATTTTTAGTTAACTTTTAAAAATGTGTAAAAATTCTAGAGACGGGCTTTCTATATACACACTTCAGAGATAGGAGCATCTCAATTGATACCAAAGTCTGGAAAGACTGATGGAAAACATTATATCTCCATAGAGAGGGGAAAAGTTGTATATGAGAAAGACACTGAGAAACTTCTAGAAAAGAATATGTATATGCTTCAGTTTCAGGAGGAGGCTTAGCAAATTAGCTGATGACAAGTTTGCTGATGTACTCAGACATGACAATGCTTAGGGATCTCTCAGGCTTTTCCCAACATATGGGCCCTCAAGAAAAAGGTGCCCAAGGTACTTTGGAGAGGCTTCTACAACTACAACCTAGAGGATAATAAATAGAGAGAACTGCCATTGCCTCCATGTGTCTGAGATCTTGGATTCTGCTTTTCAGCGTCAACTCTCCTGTGATACTAGTTAAAATTCAAATCAGATTCCAATGAGGTTTCAAATCTCAGCACAGAGAGACTGTCAGATAAAACAATTAAATGTTGCTTCGAGCAACGTTTTAATATTTTTTGTAAGATGAGACTTGTCATTCTTCATTAGGGACAATGGTCTATCCAGGCGAGAGCTGATGTCATCAATGCGAGACTGCCAAGAAGGCAGGGTTATCCTTTCATGACACTGTCAGACAGCTGGGGCATACTCAGCTTCTCTTAGCGGCCATGACCTATAACTGCCTTTCACAAAAGTTGTGGAATCCTTGGGGGGATTTCTTGCACATACTATTTATTTAGAATGTCATCTGGTCTGTGAAGATATACTTCTTTTTATTTGTCCTAAAAAATGCGTTAAAAGATTTAAAGAGAGGGGCGCCTGGGTGGACTCAGTTGGTTAAGCGCCAGACTCTTGGTTTTTGCTCAGGCCACGATCTCAGGGTCCTGGGATCAAACCTCCCCCACCATGGGGGCTCCACGCTCAGCAGGAAGTCTACTTGAGATTCTCCCTCCTCATCTCCCTCTGCCCTTCCCCCTGCTCGAGGCTTCTCTCCCTCCCTCCCTCCCTCTCTCTGTCTCTCTTTAAAATAAATAAATAAATCTTTTTAAAAAGAGGTTTTAAAGAGACTCCCATTGTTCTAACCTTTTGGAATTTATGTTCACGTCATCCAAATACCAGCAGTTTTAAGGATTTTTAGATAGCCTCCCTGAGCTCCTCAACGCTAATGAATCAGTATTTTAGCAAGGTCTCAGGTAACCATCAGTTCATCCCTAGGCCTTTTGGTCTCCTCTTTCTAGCATTTGAATCCAACATCATATGTCATCATTTGGTCTCCTCTTCTCTAATCAAAAGAGAAATAATGAAATGTGGAGACTAGAACTATAACCGGGATTCCAGATATTGTGAAAATACAAGGGTCGAATAAGCTATTGCTTGCATGTGCTTGGGCAATGGTGTCAAACATACCATTGGCTTCATTGCCTATGTCTGTACACTGATCTGATATCCTTAAAGGGTTAACGACAAAGATAAAAATCCATTACCCCAGAGCAGCATTTGTGTGTGTGTGTGGGGGGGGTGGGGTGGGAGGGAGGAGTGGAAAAGAGAAAAAAAATTTATTCAGCATATATAATTTCAATTATTTATTCTTTCATCCAGAGTACTTATGAAGGAGTTAGAAAAGAACAGTCTTTTCCAACTCTGATCCCTGAGAAACACTGTTTTTATGTAATTCCACCCATAGAGTAGAAGAATCTGAGACTTGGAAGAGAAGGTATAGATCTGCCAGTACCAACTTTCCTCTAACATTTCTGACATGGGACTTCCCACAATGGTGACACAATCCTCAATATAATAGGGTAGGTACATATTTAGACACTTTGAAAGTCTGTCCTTTCATTAGGCTGACACACGCCTCTTTCTAACTGCCATCTACTGATCCTAGTGCTTTATTCTCAACAAGCATAGACGATATCTATCAAAAGAAAAACACTTTTAGATACATTTAACAATAATTAACATAAATCTCTCAAAAACTCAATATAGTGCTTTAGGCTAAACATTTGTGGTTGCTTAAAAAATTCCTCATGTAAGATGATTTTCCAAATTATCATTTTGATTGCATTCCATTGGATACCCTCTGGTTTAACTATGACTCGATTAAAGGGTGGTATTTATTCGGACATAGTACGCAGTAATGACCTGAGTGACTCAAAATATAGA